TTCAACTGCACAACCTCTTAACATTGCTGCTTCGCCTATATCTCCTCTGCCTAGTTTATTATCACTTGAAGAAGCACAAGCACGCAGTAAAGCAGCTTTCTTATCTAACCAACGGTCTTCATCCGATGTAGGGATGCTTCAAACAACTACAATGTCACCTAAACGAAGTCGTAAATGGCTTGGTTTGTTTTCTCGTGCTAAATCAGCTAGCCCAAGCCAACCAGTCGAAAGAAGTAACAAGCATCCTTCTGTTTATAAATTAATTAGTTCTCCTCAGCGTTCTATAAGCGAAATAAATATACATAATCTTCGTAAACAACAGATTGAACACACTGCTCTTCTACATACAGCATCAGAGGATAATTTGCAGAAAAAAGATATTGTACAACACAAAAGAACATCAGTACAATCAGCATCTTTTGATCACACTGATGCTGACTATTTACCTTTTTGCAATAGGGAAAGTGATGATGATTCTTCTATCATGTCTGCTATTGAGGTTGTTAGTAAGAAATATTTAGGAATTTCAAAATCTGATCAAAATGTTAAACAAACAATAAATTTTTCGCCTGAAGATTCAAAAATACAAATCAAAAATGATTATGAAAAGGAAATGAAAAATGGCAATCTTATTTCTGATTTTCAACCTCAAAATAATCAGGAGGTAGGTCAAACGAATCAGGTAGGTCAACATGATGAGCAATCTCCTGACCGCATACATCTTCCATTAACAACCATTGATAATGACTTGCCAATTAAAAAATCAAGATCACTTTCACCTGAAAATTTATTGTTGCATAAAAACAAATCTATAAGAGCTAAAAGCCTACAGTTTGGTGATAAGTTCAATGATGAAGTGAAGGATCATTCTCTGAGTACAAGATCATCTTTAGTTTTCCAAAGTGAGTCCAATGATTCTTTTACTAAAAATACTCCTTTATACACCATGGGTTCAAACAATTCTAGAAAATCATTTTCTGGAAGTTCTTTCCAACTTGTGGCTACTCCATGCTCTTTAACTACAGATTCATCATTAACTGATGAGAAGCGAGAAAAAAATCTTGTTTTTGCTCATCCACCCAACACTTCTGTGGTTCATCCCTTTTTAGCAAATCGAAAATCTTGGATTGATAAAGCTGGTCCACCACATTTCTCAAAAACTGCCTTAATGAACGAGTCATCAGAAAAAAAAGTCATAAACAATGATTTTAAAATATTAGCAGGAAAAAAATATGAGTTACATCGACCAAGTACTAGGAACTCTTTAAAGTTTGACCAGATGTCACAAATTTGTAGTTCTTTAGATCAAAAAGACAATAATGGTATTGTAAGCAACAACATAAACGACAATAATGACATTGTAAGCAACAATATAAACGACAATAATGATATTGTAAGCAACAATATAAAAAGCTTTAAAACATCAGATTCTCAATCACCTTATACAAATGAATTTTCGACAGAAAATCAAACGTATGAAGATAATGTTCAAACGAAACCTTTACTTAACTCACCAAAAGAACGTTCGTCAATCTTGCTTGATTCTTCCAACCAAGAAATTTCACGAGTCTTACCGGATCATTTAAAACATGAGGATTTGCAAAAGGTTTTAGTAAGGTCTACAGAAGAAAATATGAAACTAAACAAGGTTATTGACAAGCAAGATTCATCAAACAGTATAAAATCTTGTGAAAGTCAATTATATAACCAGGACAGTTTAAAGTATTCCGTCTCTATACCTAACGATTCTTCAGTAAATGTTTCTTTAGGTGCTCCATGTATTTATACCAATAGACTAGACAATTCAAAAACAATTTGTGTCGAAAAGTTTGTAGGTGATAGTAATAAGGTACCTACAAGTGACAGTAATAAACTTCCGACAGCTGAAAGTTGTAACCCATCAACCAGTGGTGGTAATAATGTAACAACAAGAGACAGTATTAAGGTACGAACAACTTTTGGCACGCATAAGGATTATTTAAAGTCAAAAAGTTTAAGTAGCGTTGATGTGTCTCAATATTCGTATCCTATGAAATTTTATCAAAAACCTAAAGAAAAGATCTCTCTTCCCTTGAAAGGTAATTCCAAAATTGAAAAAGAAAAAAGGCATTCCCAGCTGGATAACATGGAATCAGAAATGATTTATCGTTCCTGTTCATTACAGCAAAGTAAAAATTACAGAGAATCATTGCCTATTTTTGATACACAATTAAAAAACAATAAAGAAACAATTTTGTTAACGCTCAACCCTGACTTAAGGTCCACCTCTTGTAGATCTCATTCTTCTGAAAATTGTTCCAGTTTTGTATCATGTGGTGCCTATCCATTAAAAACATTTTCCAAAGAATATAATCCTACTACAAATATACCCCTTCGGGATACAAAAACAAGATCGAGTTCAAATGTTTTTAACAAAAGACCTTCTTCCGAATATATAAGTTCCAATAACTCAGCATATGTAACAACGCCTACTTCTACTAGTTATGTTTCTTATGGTAGC